GAACATGTAAAGTATTATTTTAAGCACTGTTACAATTTATGCTATTCTAAATAATATGATTAATTATTTTATGATAAAAAATTATTTATGTCATTTATACTGATTGAATCGTAGTCATACAAATGATAAACGTTACATAAGCAATTGATTAGAATTAGACATGTGTGCAGTTGTCTCTCAACTGTTGATGCTTGACATTAGTGCTTTTCATTGCGAAATAATTAATTATTGTAACTATTATTTCAGTTTTATGGTAGTTGTAAAATCTCTATTAAATGTTAAAATACACGCTTAAAAATGAGTACAAAAAAATTTGATAAACTCTTGCACGTAATAATTAAATATTGTAGATACGAGAGTGCCACCCAACGGTGCTTTACAACATTACTTTTACCGCCAAAGTTTGAGGTATATTTTATGTACATTTTACATACAATTGTATATATTTTTATTTAATAATTGCTAGCGTTTATTATAATTTATCATTTATACTTTATACTTCCGTTCTCACAAACATTTTTTAATAAGCCAATATTTACTTTAATTTTTTGTCAAAACACAATAAACAAGATTACGTAATATATTATAATTAAAGCTTAATTTACTTTACAATTAAATGAAATATATCATTTATATTAGAATTATAACAGAAATTCGTTAAGATGTTATTGCATTAACTAAATTAAAAAATTTTTGCTTCATAATAATCAAAAAATACTGACTTATTAAAAATGTAATAATATTCATTTTGTATGTTGAAGTTGATTTAAATATGTATGTATAAAAGTAGGAAAATGATTGCATTAATTTATTATATACAACTTTCTTTATTTTATTTTACAGGTGTTTGGCCTTGGAAATAAAACTTATGAACACTATAATGAAGTAGCAATATATGTTGATCATAGATTGGAACAACTTGGTGCTACACGTGTCTTTGAACTTGGCTTAGGAGATGATGATGCTAAGTAAGTTCAAAAGTGTAATTTCTATATTACATATAGAAATTGTGATAAACTTGTCTATATTAACTTGTTAAATTTATTCTTTATTAGTGTTTTAAAGTATAATCAAGTGTATATGGTATTGTGGAAGCATTTAATTATTAAACATTTCTCTATTGTTATACTTATTTAATGTATATTCTGTACTAGATAATAATATGAAAAACTATATAAAAATCATAAAAAGGATCCTTTTTTAGTTTATTAATTCAATAATTGTAAAGTTTTCATAATTTAGATGCATAATTATATGTACATCATTATAGTATAGAAGATGATTTCATCACGTGGAAGGATAAGTTTTGGCCAACAGTTTGTGACTTTTTTGGAATTGAGGGTGCAGGTGAAGATGTCAGCATTAGACAATATAAACTTACAGAACATGTTGATTTATTAACTGAACGCATTTACACTGGTGAAATAGCACGTCTTCATTCTTTTAAGAATCAAAGAGCGTATGTTTCATTAACTTGTTATAAAGGCATAATTGAGTTATTGCAAATATATGATTGAAAGTTTCTGAAAATGTTTACATAAGTTATTTTTTTTCTGCAGCCCATATGATGCAAAGAATCCTTATCTAGCTCCAGTAAAAGTTAATCGTGAACTTCATGGTCCAACTTCAGACAGGTCATGTATGCATATAGAGTTTGATATAGATGGATCTAAAATGCGTTATGAAACTGGTGACCATTTGGCAGTATATCCTGTAAATAATGCGGAACTAGTAAATAAAATTGGAGAAAAATGTGGTGCAAATTTAGATACAGTGATCACTCTTACAAATACAGATGGTAAATTAAAAATACATTTGATAATAATGTATTTAATGATATCAATGTTTTTCATGTACATTATTTTGCATATTACAGAGGAATCTACAAAGAAACATCCATTCCCGTGTCCATGTTCTTATAGAACTGCTTTAACTCACTACTTAGATATCACTAGTAATCCACGCACTCATATTCTTAAAGAGTTAGCAGAATATTGTAGTGATTCAAACGACAAAGAAAAGCTTAAATTAATGGCATTAACCAGTGCAGAAGGCAAAGCTGCTTATCAGCAATGGGTAGTTCAAGAAAATAGGAATATTGTACATATTTTGGAAGACATTTCTAGTTTAAAACCAGCCTTGGATCATCTGTGTGAACTTTTACCAAGATTGCAATGCCGCTATTATTCAATTTCTTCATCTCCTAAGGTAAGTTTGGACTGTTTAGCAGCAACAAACAAATTTCTATAATGCAAACTTAAATCTTGTACAGCAATAACAAAAAAAATAATAACTCGACTTCCATAAAATATTTTAGTTAAAAATTATGAGTGTTGAAACTTAAAACAGCAATTCATCCTTAAGACAAGTTAAGAAAAATAATTCAATTAATTAAACCTGT